ACGCACACAGCATCACATAATCATATACGCATGCACACACATACATGCACATGCACGTGCATACACACACACACACACACACACACACACACACACACACACTTCTGAACTTCCCTGTTTCTCCTGCAGGTATCCCATCCTACCCAGGCTCACCAGCTCAATGCTATCCTCAATTCTTCACTCAAACTCACTCCACATATTCCATCTGTTGCAAAATCTTCTCATCCCTACCTTCCCATCATGTCTTATATGGATCCCATTTCTTGCTTCATATATCCAAATTGTAACCCCCATTGCCTCTTCCTTGAGACCACTAGAACAGCCTCCTACTTTGGACTCTCCCTGCCTCAACTTTTCTTGACTTTGATCCACCTTCCACTTAGCTGCCAAGGTGCTTTTCTTAAAGTACCTCTCCCCATGTCATCTATGTGGGGTTTGTATGCATGCTCTGGGCTCAGCCCCCACACATTATGGATGCCTCTGATGGAGATCCAGCCACTGAAAATCACTTAAGGGGCAGCTAGGTGGCGCAGTAGATAGAGCACCGGCCCTGAAGTCAGGAGGACCTGAGTTCAAATCCAGTCTCAGACCAAACACTTGACACTTACTAGCTGTGTGACCCTGGGCAAGTCACTTAACCCCAATTGCCTAAAAAAAAATCACTTAAGTGCATATCCAAATAAAGCAACAGTTTGATTAAATTAGTATGTAGGTCTGTAAAGAATCACCAAGCCATGTCACCCCCACTCCTCCACAAAATCCAGCGCTTTGAAATTTACCCCAGGATCAAATATAAGGTTCTCTCTTTGGCGTAGGAAGCCCTTCACCACCTGGCCTCTTGCAACCTGCCCAGTTGTCCCACATTTTAGCCTGTGCTGAAGATCCAGCTTCATTGGCATGACACTTCATTTCCCACCTCCACACCTTTTCAGAGGCTGTCCCCCATGCCTGGAGTGTCTCCCTCCTCCCAGATCCAGCAGAAATCCCAACGTCAACCAGGGGCCTTTTCTGGTCCCCCTGCTTGGCAGTACCCTTTACCTGCCCTGAAATAACTTTGTATTTATTGGCACACATTTTATGTCTGGCTTCCCACATGCGTGTTGCTCCCCCCACCATTGTACCACACACTGATCGAATTAGAATGGACACTATTCTTCCATCTTGTATCCCCAGAACCCAGGATGGTTGAATGACCCCCATGCTTCTGGGATGAATGAGTGAATGACTGTCCCTCATCTAGGACCCTGACTCCGTTGGCAAGAGGAAGAAGAAAACCAGATGGGAATCCTTTCCCCCCTGCAAGTGTTTGTGTTCCTCTGGCCACGTGTGTCCCCATTGACTCCAGCCCATGTTGCTAGGGTTCACCAAAGGCTCAACAGTCATGACAAGGACAGCAATCTCTTTGGTGGCCCCTTTGAATCCTTATCCACTCCCTTGAAGGAACTTGCGTCAGAGGCCTGGAAGTCATGAAATGCCAACACTTAGTACTGTGTGTCTTTGGACAAGTCACTCATTCTCAGTGTCCCCCACTGGGCTAGATTATCCAGCCCTTCCCCCAGGAAATCCCATCATCCTCATACAAAGAGGCAAACAGGCTCCTGGAAGATTAATCACCTGACCAAGGTCACAGTCAGTGAGCAGCAGAGAAGGTGGGTCTTGCATGTGGACCTTCTGACTCCACCTCCACGGTACTCATGCCACCGGGCCTCATGTGTGAGTGGGTACCCAGCCCCTCATTTTCTTCTATACACTCTGACATAACCCAGACCAGCAGAGAAGTCATCAGTGTCCCTACAGCTGCCCTGAACAGGATCAAGGTGCAGAGATCGCCAGCCTCCAGAAACAAGCCCCATGCTTGCAGACAAGCTGCCCCTTTGTGCAGAATCTAGTCCTGAATCATAATATCCAGCTGAGTTAGCAAGAGTTTCTGGCATTTCATTTTCAAAATGTATACGTATGCCATTAATTTTTAACACCAATATTCTCCTGGAGATGCTCTATAGCTGCAAATCACAGAACATCGTGATCTCAGACAAATCAAAATTATAAGTAACCCAAGGGCAATGAAAAAAGCCAAGTGGGGTGGGCAGGCGTAGGCAGCCTCAGACAACAACGAGGATTTGGCCTTGAGAAGGGAGTCAAAGTTGGTGGCAGGCAGGGGGCAGTGGGGGGGCAGGGGGACAGTGACCTGAGAAGGAGGTGAGTCCTGAGTCAGGAACCAGCAATGGCTCATGGGCATCCTGAGGGCCACATTGGGATCCATCACCTGACAAAGGGCCAGTGTACCCTTTCTGGATTCATAGATATGCGTGCCCAAGGATCCTGCAGGCTGAAGGGACTGTAGCTAGGGAGGGAGTGGCCACCCCAACGAGATTAGAGATGGGACCCAAGTAGTCATTCTTGTCCAGATGCCTGTTCCTGGAGAAGGCGTGTCTACACTGTACATCAGCTGAAGTAAGCTTAATGGAATCTAGACATGGCGGCCATGTCAAGGAAGCTCAGACCATGGAATCCACATTCCAGAGAATCACAGGACTTCCAGATTGTTGGAGGTGATCTCATCTCATCTGAAGTGGAACAAGGATCCCTTCTGAAACATCCTTGACGAGATGCTTTTTAGATTTTTCTTGAAGACTTTCAGAGACAGGAAACTTACTACCTCCTGAAGATGCCCATTCTACTTTGGAGCAGCTCTAACCCTTGAGAATTTTTCCTGCTGTCCAATTGCTCCTTGGCAAAGTCTTCCCATTGCTCCCAGTTCTGTCCTTGGGGCCACCCAGAACAAGCTTAAAGCTTCTTCCAAATGGCAGTCCTTCAGGCACCTGGAGAGATCTGTCAAGTCACCCAGAGTCCTCTTTATTCCGGGCTCCTTCTGTAAGCCTTCGTCGGCAGGATCTCCAGGCCCCTGAGGAACCCCAGATGACCCCTCCAGGCCCTTCAGCTTATCAGCATCCTTCCTAAAAGGTGCTGCCGAGCACTGGCCATGATTCAACCAAGGCCTTTCGTGGTTATGAAATCAGCAGCTTTGATTAGTTGTATTGATGTCTGTCCATAACTATTGTTCGTGGCCATAGACGTCACACTTGGGAGTGTTTGCTTAGCCAAACCAAACTGACTCTCATTCTCCATCAGATAGAGTAGAGAACTAAGAAAGAGGGCAGGGGCTGGTTGCTCTAGGAGGATGGCTTTCTCACACCGGAAGTCCCTCTGCCTTTACATGCAGCCTCTGTTTTTGGGGAGACTCTCTGCCTAGTTTCCTTTCCCAGGGCTAACTGACTCTCCAGTCTTTGTTGTGTTTTGTTTTTATTTCTCCCGCCTGTCCTCTGCTGCTAATTACCTCTTTCTCTTACTCCTCTTTTCCACTTTGGCTCTGAGGCACAGCACAGTCTCTCTTTTTTTGTCAAACTGATCCCCAAGTTCTCCTCCATGTGGGGTGTGTCTGGGTGATTTTCCCTAGCACTGCCTTCCTCTCTTGGACATCTACGTGAGGTTTGTATTCGTGCTCGGGGCTCAGCCCCCATATATTATGGAGACCCAGCCATTGCACATCATCTAAGCCGCATATCCAGATAAAGAAACCTTGATTAGATTAGCATGTGGATCTATGAAGAATCACCAAACTACAAAGAACAGGGCCGTCCAGTCTGTGGGCCGGATCCCAACACCTCCTCTTCATTTTCCATGCTGCCCCTGCACCCAGGAGCAAAAGGCAGGCAATTCGGCTTCCTCCTCACTAACTCTGTGCCTCCCAGTGCTGCTAGAAAGTCTTGGGAGCCTGCCCGCAGCCCCCAGAGGCACTGGCACTTCCTGCTTCCCCAGTGGCTCCAGCTGGCAGGATGGAAGGAATCCTGCCCAGCTCACAGTTATCAGAGGCCCCTTTCTGACCTCCCCAGCCCCGGGGAAGAGATTACAAACCGCACAGACATGGATAGAGCTGTGTAAGTCCTCCATCTTTTCTTCTCTCTGGCCCTCTTGTTACCTCCTTCCTCCTCAGTTTAGGCTCATACATTCCCCCCAGTCCTCAAGGGTCCTGAGAAGGGACTGTCCCAGAAGTGTCTCCTTGGCTGTCAGCAGCTGGGGAAATCACTAAGAGAAACTGAGGCCATGGATCTTTCAAAGATATGTTGTTCATATCCTTTCTTAATTAAAGTCCTTAAAAATTGCGTCGAATACATTAGAACTTCTGTAAACATACATTTTAAACATGCACAAATTAGACTAAGAGATAGAAACAGGGAATTATTCCACTTTACATAATGTGCCTAATTTTTGCTAAACACATTAGAACTGCATGCAGCAATCCTGAGCTCATAAATGATAATAATGGCAATGATAGATAGATAAAGATAACACATAGCACTTTAAGGTTGAGAAAGCACTTTACCCACATTCATTTGATCCTCACAATAACCCTGGCAGGTAGGTGCTATTATTTTCCTCATTTTACAGATGAGGAAAGTGAGCGTGAAAAGTTAAGTGAACTGCCAGCCAATAAGTACCCAAGGCAGGATTCAAATTCAGGTCTTTCTGGCTCGGAGGATGACGCTCTACCCATCCCGCCACTCGGTATCTCAGAACGCAGAGCACACAAAGCAATAGTGCACGTGACAACATTGACACCATAAGTGATCACTGCAATGCATGTGATGGACCAGGGTCTCATGAAATACAAGCAAAAGATGCACAACCATGGTGGATAGAGATATAGTAAAGGAAGGGAGAAGCCATCTGTAATAGAACAAAGAAGCCGACACAAAGATTCTGTACAAAACATGTCTCTGGTGGTTACATACAAAGTATCCATTACACACCTCGCTTAATATTGCTGGGTGGTTCAGGTGTAATTACCCCCACTTTACAGATGGGGGGACTGGAGTTCATGGCTATGTAGCAGGTGAACATGAGAGCTCAGACGTTGGACCATGGATCTAGAGTTGGAAGATATCTGAGAGATTCTAATCCTCCAGGAAACTGAGGGCAAGGAATGTTATGTTACTCACCCATGACTCAGGTAAGTGTCAAAACTGGGATTCAAACTCAAGGCCTTGGATTGTATAGCCAGTGTCCCTTCTATTGCACCAGAACGTCTTCCAGGGCTCCTAGCTGCAAGTCCAGTGCTCACTCATGGATCAGAACTGAATTCAGGAACTCATCCACACCAGTTCATCTGACCCAGGCTGAATCATCACTGGGTTCCTGAGGAAATGGGAACATTGTTTTTCACCCCTTCTGTTAGGAGTTGCCCAGTGTTGTCAGCTTCCTTAAATTCCCCCAATACAGATGTATCTTTGGAGTTTTCATCAGGCTCTCCTCATATGGAAGGGACCTGCCTCCCATACCACACACACACACACACACACACACACACACCCTTCCACTGCATTCTCGCAGCCTCCTCTTGAACATTCCCCATATGGGATATTTCTCTGTCTCATTTCCATGCCTTAGCAATGATACAATTCCACCTGGCCTTCACATCCCAGCTCTGCTGTTGACTCTGCCGCACTTTGTCCCTGAACCTATCGGGTTCCTGAGACACTCAGGGAGCCCACTCGCCATATGTTCTGCTCCAAAGAGAGCAAGTAAAGACTATAAGAGGTAGGCAAACACAGAGTAGAACCAAATAGCAATAGAAGAAATACCTGCTCAACACCAAGAGAAACCTACTTAATAATCACCCCATGTCTCCCAATCCCAAGGTAGAGAAGCAATGTGCAAAACCCATAAATCTTCCAAATGTTAGCTGCAAGCCTCTCTCCAAAAGGCTCAGCCAATTCCATTCATTCAAGCAAAGAAAGGAAGGGGTTCCTTGGTTGTCTTCATGATTATTCCCATGTTTTTCCTCCCACTGACTTTTTGGCCTTTTCTAACTTAATCACTAACTCTGTATGACCAAATTTTCAACACCAGTCCCCTCTCTCGATGTTTATGCGAGTCTTTATCTTTTAGCTTTTGTCCTAGTCTCACAGAACATCCAGCCTGGAAGGAAACTTTGTCACCATCTCATCCAGGCTTGGAACTTCACAGTAACCATCCTCCTGGAATTGTCTTTGTGCCAATCTCTAGGGTTGGCCCTGGGGTTGCTTCTTTTTCTCACCTCCTTTTCTAATCCCATAATCTTTCCTCAAAATTAAATCATCCATTCCAACAGCATCTCAACCTCTATCTGCAATGGAATTCTCTGTCAACTTTTGTGGCAGGAAGTTGGCTTCTTTCACAGTACATCCTCACTCTTATCATGAAGAGGCATGGTCTTTGCCATTCCTCCAGCCCAGGAGCAGGATGGGGAAGTGATAATAAAGGTCTTGAGAACTGAAGCCAGTGAAAAGGATGGAGATCAGCAAGGGTGACTGAGGAAATGATGATGTAGCTCTGTCTGTCATCATCATCCCCACCAAAGTCATATGATTGAGAGAGGATAACAATAGCAAAGAGAATCTAGACCAGGAGAGAATGATGTGGCCATCTCTTCCAGCCCAGAGGTCAGGGAAGCTTTGCGAGTCAGATGGAACATGGAATGTGTTTCAACTGAACATCAACAGGCAAATCCAAACCCTCGCCCCTGTGGCCAGCCCCACGTTGCCTCCCTTGTTCCTCTGGGGTGTCTTTGCTGGACAGGCCCCACATCTAGCCTCATTGAGTCTTCAGCTGCGGAGCACTTGATGGCCCAACATCTGAACTCAAGTCCCTCATGGGATTTTTGCCCATTTGAGCTGGAGAAAAATGTAAGGAAAAGCTAGGGCAGAACCAGTCACCATCTGCAACCCTGGGCTGTCCTAGGCTTACAGATGCAGAGTTGGAAAGTCAGCCCTATGGGGAAAGTCAAATCAACATTTATTACTACTTACTCTGGGCAGGGCCCTGGACTAAGCCTGAGGATTCAAACACAAAACCAGGCCACTTTCTGATTATGCCTGGGTAGGTGGAGCTGGAGCTTGACCTGAGATAAGAGAATGCCAGCAGCTAGAGTAGGAGAGTACTTAATAGGGTGGGGTGAGATGTTGGGGAGGGGAGGTTGGGGAAGACTCTAAGGGGGTATCTGAGCTCAGTCTTGGAGGAAGCTGGGGTTCAGAGAGTAGTTTTACTGTAGTCATTCAGGGAATTTCATCACTGGGTCTTTCTTCCAGGGCTGATCTCCACCCATTCACGCCTCCTTATCCTGTGGAGTTTTTGTCTTGTGTCTTGTGCAGATTTTTCTAGCAAAGGGCTCCTCAGTGACCTGCAGGGGTCCCCTAGGTCTTTGAATGTTCTGAGCACATCACTTCATCTCTAGCACACAGCATCGTCCCTTAGAAAATGACTTTTGTAAGGGAAGCCTTTGACACCCCAAAATGCTCGGGGCAGCTTGGCGTGATACAGAGTGTAGGACCTGGGAGAGCAGGCACCTCGGTTTGAATCCCCCTGGCTCTGCATGTTTCTGCATCTCTAAACAGGGGTAATAATCCTTATGGAACCTCTTTCTCAGCATGGCTGTGAGGGTCCAGTGATGCCGGCCTTATTGTATTATGATACTCTGTCACCCACTCTGTCCCCTAGGATCCAGTCAGAACCTTGAAGTAGCCACTTGGCTTCCCTGGCTGCTGTGAACAGAGGCCCTGGCAGGAGATCCAGCAGAAGAAGGATCCTGCAGACATCCCAGGTGCTGCCGTCTTTGCCCCTTTATGAAGACATAGGGCACAGCCCAGCTGCCGCAGGAAACCCTGGGCAGACCTGTTCTGTCATCGAGGGGCAGCTCTGAGTTCTTCTCCTGACCTGCTTTCCCTGATTCCTGACACTGAGCTCTCCCCTCAGCTTCTGGGTCTCCACCCCTCCTGTGCCCTCCACCCTGGGTGGCACTGCTGTACTGAGGCAGTGACTACCACCACCTCCTCCGGACGACTCTGCCATGCTCCAGTTTTGACCCTCGAGCCTCCTCCATGGTCATTCTGGGTCTACGCCAAGTTCCTGTTCCCCTCCTCAGCATCAACACACATCTGTCCTGTGAGTGCCCCGAGGCACTCATCTCTCATACCCCTGCCTTGCCAGAGCTGCACAGTTCCTATGACCTCCCTTAGAGGCTGGTTGCTCATGAAAAATCACTGCTCTGACTCACAATTTCCTCTCAAGCCCTGAGAGAACCGCCAAATGGGCTGGGGCTCCCCAGTGATGTGTATGGGTCACCACCCCAGATGCTCTTCAGCATCTCCTCACATGTGGGTAATGGGGACAAGGGGCCTGGCTGCTTTTGTCCTGCACCCCACCCTCCAGAGGACTGAGGGATAGCCCAGAAATCACGTTCCAGCGAGGCCAGGCTGTGCTGGTTTCCTGAATTTCTCCTCTTTCTCCAGCTTTGATGATTGAGGATGGAAGGTTCCACCAGTTATCATTGCCCCACTTGGGGGATGACCAGCTCTTTCCTAAGAGAAAACAGTGGTCCCATGTACCTGTTGAGTGCCCACTGCTCCCCACAGGAAAGTCTCCTGTCAAAAACACCAAGCATTGTCCTCAGCGTCTGAGGCAGTCACTGTTTGGATTCAGCCCCTTTTCATGCTGAGCCTTCTCTTCCAACACAGGATATGTCGCAGATTAATTAAAAGGAAACAAATAATCCTCCTGCTCATTTTCTGTTTTGATGAGGAATTCACTAAGTCACTTGGGTATGTTGGGTAATCATTTTCTTTTGGAAATATTCCTATCATTCCATGTGAATTTGATCTTTTAGAGGATTGCAGGTTTAAATTACAGATGATGGGAAATTCATACAACTCCTTCCTATTCCTGATACTTGGGAAGCTGTATGACCTTCCCCAGGTAGGAGCCCCATCCCAGAACTGAGCCCTCCAGTGTTCTGCCCATGGGTCACAAGGTCACAGCTGGATCAGGTCATCTAGGTCAACATTCCCACTTTGCATGTTGTTTCTGTACCCTTGGTGCCTAGCACAATGCTGCCAGCACATCCTTGTTTAAGGTACATCTGGGATTCCATCATTCAAGAGAGTTCCAGGAGAAAATTTCATCTACCAGAGCACATCAGCCACCAGTCTGCAACTTACAGCCCTTCAGAGTGTCCAGAGCCTTGGTGCCTTGCCCAGGGTCTTACAGCTAGCATGTGTCAAAGGCAGAACCTGAACCCAAGACTGCCTGGCTGACTCTTAGGCTGGCTTTCTATCCACAGAGCCATGCTGCCTGGCACAGAAGAAGCCCCTAATCAGAGCTTAACATCCAGCTCTCCTGGGTGCTCTGAGGTCCCACAGATGATGCATTGGAGAGTGAAATTTCAAAGGAAAGCCCTGAGAGGAGGTAGGCAGACTCCTGATCCTCTCCAGGCTATTTCCTTTCATCCCTGGGGCTAACACACACCTCTCAGTGGCCTCTTGGCCAGCACTGAGTGGTTCCCTTGGGTCCACTTTGTCAAATGTGTGCCCTGGAGGGACCCAGAAAAAATAGAGCTTCCTCCCCTGACCCTCTGAGCAAGCCAGACCATCTCATTTGGATTTTGGGGGGATGAAAGGAAGATGCTCTCTGGGCACCATCCCAGCTCTGGGGGCCCCACAGCCAAGTCAACCACTCCTTCCCATGCCCAGACACTCCTTGTCTGGGTATTCAAACATATTAGAACGGTGTGTCTTTGTATGTGCCTTAAAACCTGCCTGATGAAAATATGCCTTGGTATAAGCACATGCATGAAGATGCTGGAGCCCAAAGAGACAAGTATGAAAGGTACATCCTCCAACCTCACCACCGCTCCAGGCAAAAGACCCCTTGTTGGGGGTGGGTGGAGGCAGACAGATCCAGGTTCAGTCAGGAAAGCCCCCCTCCCCCTCCCCATCCCCTCTCCCTCCCTCCACCTCCTCATCCTCATCCTCTCTCCCTCCCTCCCTCCCTCCCCCTCCCCATCCCCTCACCCTCACCTTCCCCATCCCCTTTCCCTCCCTCCCCCTCTCCATCCCCTCCTCTCCCCCTCCCCATCCCCTCTCCCTCCCTCCACCTCCCCATCCCCTCCTCTTCCCCTCTCCATCCCCTCCTCTCCCCCTCTCCATCCCCTCCTCTTTCCCTCCCCATCCCCTCCTCTTCCCCTCTCCATCCCCTCCTCTCCCCCTCTCCATCCCCTCCTCTTCCCCTCTCCATCCCCCACCCCAACCAGTTCAGAGTGTCATGCATCTCACTTACAGTAATTCTTTCTTATTAACTGCTCAGGTACAATTTATTTTCCTCTCAGGCTATGAAGGGGAGTGCCAGTGTGGCAGGCTCTGGTTGGAGCTGATAAGCCAGCCCAAGGAGCCACGCGCCTGCCTGGATGAGATTTGTGAGGAAGACAATATTCCCCCGGCTCCTGCGAGCCAGGCTGGGTAGCAGAACTACGCCCAACCTCTCCAGGCAGGGCATGCTAGCTCTTGGTGGCAGCCCCCAGGGGAGCCTCTGGAAATGGAGTTGTCTTCTCCCTTTCTGGGCCCCCCCCAAGCCTGTTCTTTTTTTTTTTTCTGGTGTGGCCGTGCTGCCAACGCAGAGAACACCAATGTGTTTGCAGAAGATGCCTACTTTGTCTTAAACGAGCATGTATGTGTGTATGTGCATTCGTGTGCCTGATTAGGTCATGGGATTCTGCCTAAGGCCTGGCTTTAAAACACAAAAATGGCTGCCCCAAGATTCAGGGGTGGAAGGACCTCCCCTCCTCACAGTAAGAAGACATTCATTGGCCAGAACAAAGGCAAGTCTACTGAGTACTTCCTTTGCATGGGCTGGTATAGCCCCCTGTGGGCAGAGACCACCTCCCTAGCACAGTGTCTGGCACATAGGTCAACCAGAATTTATTAGGGTAGATGGGGGGGGGGGAAGAACATGCATTTATTAAGCACAAATATTAGTGATCCTCACAATAATTCTGTGAGGTAGGTACTGTTATTAGCCCCATTAATGGAGGAAACTAAAGTAGACAGAGATTATGTGATGTGCCAGGTCCCATAACTACTGTCTGAGGTTTGATTTGAACTTGGGTCTTCCTGACTCCAGGCCCTCTAGCCCTGTGACACTCTCTAGCGGCCTATCCCTCTGGGACATGAACAGGACCTGTAGTCTCACTGGTATCAGGAGCTTCGGTGTGAAGAAACTCTCTACAATCATTGCTTTCTCTGCCACTGAGAGAAATGCCTGGAGCTATTTGCCCAGGGTCCCACAGGCAGGAGGGGTCTCAGAGGGAACTTGAAGCCTCAAGCCCAGCTCTGTCCAATGTGAGAGGCTACCTCTCTGTCTAGAATGGAAGGCACTCATCATAAATTCTTGAATGAGGGAATGAAATAAAGATCATGGCCCTCAGTCAAGGGCTGGTAAGAGGAACTTCTGTCCCAGAGAAAGCCAATCCCAAAGAAAAGAGGAATCCACTGTGCTGGTGAGGATGGTCCATTCTTCAGAGCAGGAGTGTGCTTGCTTATTTCTACAGGCAGCTCTTCCCACCTGCTGGACACCTGAGACAGCTTCTGTCTAGTGATGACGAAGCTAACGAGAAAAAAGGTGCTATTCTGTTCAAGACGAAAGCCTGCCATGCCGGGAGATGAAATGGCTGGTGCAGAGCACAACACAGCTCTCTTGCACTCATTGCATGGTTTAAGAGAAAGCAGACCGGCTCGGTCACTAGCACACACAATGAGTCCTGGGGCTTCTCCCTCCCCCAGATCTTCATCCACCCCCTTCTGCTGACTCACACTCCACCAAAGTCAGGTCTTGGCACCTCTTACCCGACAGAGGAGGAATCAGGCAGATGAGGCCTAAAGGACGTCATTAGAGAAACGTGTAGCCGGAAAAAGATGGCCAGTCACATTGGGACAGCCAGAATACAAGCTCCATGCTCCAGCGTGGCGGCTGGCCCATCGGGTGGATGGACCCCTTGTGGCAGATTCGGAGAAGGCTGGGCCCAGAGTCGGCATCCTTGACCGAATACCAACACCTTCACCCTTGTGACCTCCTCCACACATAGGAGGGGAGTTCCTCCCCCTACTACCCTTTGAAGAAATACCCGAGCCAGCTCAACCCCCCATTTCTGCAGAAGACTTCTCCTCGGTCCCCAAGGGCACCCCTTCTCTCTTCCTTTTCAGCTTCTGTTCCTAAGTTCCCTGAGGCCAGGGGCCATCTTCCTTTTTACCTGTGTTTCTATTTCCAGGGCTTAGCACTGGGCTTGGCCCTTGGGGAAACACTTAATAAATGCTTTCCCTCACCTAGCTGACCAGGCTGATTCAATCACAGACCCACCCAAGTACTTGGAGAATCCACAGCTAAGGGGAAAACCAGGAAAAATCCAAATAATTCAACTCTCCATCTGGGAATGAGAAAGACGAGCCAAGCAGTGGGAAAGGAAGGGTTTCCATCTGAATCAGTGAGATTTCTAACTCAGGTTCATCAGGTAATTCATGCTTTGAATTCTGCTGTTGCCGTTTAGCCGTGTCTGACTCTTCATGACCCTTCAGGGTTTTCTGGGCAAAGATCCTGGAGGGGCTTGCCATTTTCTTCTCCATTTCATTACACAGATATAGAACTGAGGCAAACAGGGTTAAGTGACTTGCCCAGGGTGACACAGCTCGTAAGTGTCTGAGGTCAAATTTGAACTCAGGAAGAGGAGTCTTCCTGACTCCAGGCCTGGCTCTCTAACCACCGTACCACCTACCTACCCACAGCATTTGAACAGAAAAGTACTAATGCTTTACAAAATTTGGGTTTTTTCCTCTTTGTGACCACTGGTCCTTGTGTGTGCAATTCAAACCAACAGACACCAGGGGCGCCATTTAGCTAGAACATAACCTTACCTTTCTGCTCTTTCTCTAGTCCTAGAGATGAACTAGAAGTCAATTGTGAAACCAAGTCAAGCTCATTATGAAACTAGCATGACTAGAGATCACATTGTGTAATGGCTAGCACACCTGGCTGGAAATCAGTAAGACCTAGGTTCAAATCCCACCTCAGAAACTTAGTAGCTGTGAGTCCTGAAACAAGTCCCTTAACCTCTTGCCTGTAGAGTGTTCCTCTGTAACACGATGACCTCTAAAGCCCCTTCCAGCTCTGAATCTGAGTTCTTTGATCCCATGTCTACTGAGTAAGCACTAATTATCTCACTTGGCTTATTACCTTTCATATAAAATGCCAAGTGAAGCATGATTTCGAGACATGAACCAGTAAACAGAACTAATATCACAGCTTTGCCCCTTCGACTAATTGTCTCACGTCTTCATAGTCTTCTTGAAATCTTCCCCAGGGTGGTGATTCACTGCACCCATGCTGTGACTGAGGGCTCCCCGGGGTGGTGATTCACTGCACCCATGCTGTGACTGAGGGCTCCCCGGGGTGGTGATTCACTGCACCCATGCTGTGTGACTGAGGGCTCCCCGGGGTGGTGATTCACTGCACCCATGCTGTGACTGAGGGCTCCCCGGGGTGGTGATTCACTGCACCCATGCTGGTGACTGAGGGCTCCCCGGGGTGGTGATTCACTGCACCCATGCTGTGTGACTGAGGGCTCCCCAGGGTGGTGATTCACTGCACCCATGCTGTGACTGAGGGCTCCCCGGGGTGGTGATACACTGCACCCTTGCTGTGACTGGGGAGGCTCCCCGGGGTGGTGATTCACTGCACCCATGCTGTGACTGAGGGCTCCCCGGGGTGGTGATACAGTCCTGGAACTGCCTGTCTTGCTGACGGAGGCTGGATGAGATTGGAGGCTTTATCAGGGAGAGAGAGACCAGCATGTCTCCTTACTCTGGGAAGCTTCTCTGGCTTTGCACCACTTTCTCCCTGTTTCCTTAGCGAGATGAAGAACCACCCCCCCACCCCACTTCCGTTGCTCTTTTCTATCTTGTCTTTCCCTAAAAGCTAAAGTGGGAAAAGCCAGCTCGACAGCATCTTCTCCAGCCCCTTCTGCACATCCATGTCAAGCTCCCCCTTGTGGGACAAGTGGTCCTGCTTCAGGCAGGCGCTCTCCATGAAGCCGGGTGCCTGCTTGTCTTATCAGCTCCTGCTGCAGCAATGAAACTTTCTATTTCTCCGCCCCTTCAGCTGCCCCTGCAGTTCACCACCATCCCTCCCCTGGCACCATTTCTGCTTAAAAAGAATAAACTTAGTTTCCCTTGATAGATATTTTGTAACCTAATGCAACTTAGCTAAAAAAAAAAAGAAGAGTTTGTTTGAAATACTCCTGACAATACCTTCTACCTCCCTGTTTCAGTTTCCCTCAATAGATCTTATCTGTAGGTTTTCTTTCTCCTCGTCCTAGCAGCAAAGCTAGCTCTCAATACCTTGATTTTCCCATTGGTTGTTTTTTTTTGTTTTGTCTTTTTGGATTTGTTTGTTTGTTTGTTTGTTTTATGGGCAATTAAGTGAGTTGCCCAGGGTCACAGCTAGTGAGTGGCAAGTGTCTGAGGTCACATTTGACCTCAGGTCCTCCTGGCTCCAGGGCCAGTGTTCTATCCCCTGTGCCACCTAGCTGCCCCCCCCACTGTTTTTCAAGTTTCCAATCTTCTATGAAGCCTCGTGCCCCTGGGGTGCCTCTCTCCCTCTGATTGGAGGAGGTGCAGCATGGACATTGGCGAGCTCCTTCCATAACTTCCACTTTTTAAGCTTGGCACCCAAGAAATTCTCATCACCTCCCACCTGGATGCTTTCTTAGACTTCATCATCTCCAGAAAGTCATCACACTGCAAGATGAAATCAACTCAGACACCCATACTTCCTTGGATCATTTTCCACCCTGCTCCAAGACTTCATTATATCCAGACTGTGAGCTCCTCGAGGGCAGGGACTTTCTTTGCATTCACTCCCAGGGCTTAGCACTGTGTCTGACACATAGTAGGCACTTAATAAGTGTTTAGTGACTCTGACTCTTCTAGGAAGCCTGGTATGCAAAAAAAAAATCCTCATTGGTTGAAAGGAAGACTTTCCTCATCATTCACACTCAAAAATTTCATACCAGAGGCAGCATAGCTTAGTGGAGAGAGAGCTAACTTCAGAGTGAGGAGGGCCTGGGTTCAGATCCTGTCGCTGATGTATGCGCTGGCCGTGTGATCCTGGGAGAATCACTTCACTTCTCAGGGGCCCAGACAACCAGTTAAGACTCAAAGTTTTAGAGAAATGTGTAACTCACAGGAGAAGGTATCTCTGTTGGATGAGTCAGTCTGCTACTGGGTCAGGCAAATACTTTCTTCCCCATCCCCAATTTTGATCAATACCAGGGGAGGGAAAAGTGTCGGCTCTCACCTTGCATAGGTGACCCACAGCATGGGCACATTTGTCTCAAGGCTGCTACTCAGTCTGGTCACTTGTGGGACCTCTGA